AGCTAGACCAACTGAGGGCTAGATTATTATTGAATTAAAATAATTCAATAAAGGCTATATCTACGTAAAATTGAGGATCACCTAATTGGCTCACTTCTTAAAATTAGAGGCTCCTGTTATATTAGCAAATGCCACCAAAGCCTGCATTGGCAGTGGGTGCGATTGAAACTACAACCAATTGCCTCTTTGTGGTCGATGATGGCGTATCGAGCGAGTTTCCAACGTTTATAATCCTGAAACACGGACATACTAATGTAAAAGTTAAATTATTTAATACTCAATAAACTGGAAAATCACGTGTGATTAACGCGGGCAAATAATTATTTTCCTACTAAAAAAGAAATAAATCAGACCAACACCTACAGGAACAATAAATACACTCGAAAACTCATTTGGTTCGGCTCAACGAACATTTGTTGGATTATTTAAAGTCCAAATATTTACTCAACACTAAAAATAAAATGTTTCGATATACCGAAACCACTCGGTTTGCGCGTATCGTTTGCCGGTTCACTTTGTCACTTTCAACCGAAACTGTACTAAAAAATCCAGTTTTTCATATATGCCAATTTTGCGCTGATATTGATTGAGATTCCGCCAGTGACTGCAGATGTATGGAGTTCAGAAGCGAGCCAACTTCATGCATGAGTAGCTGATAGATATGAGAAAATTCCTTTTTTGATTCCGTCTTTGACTGATTTTGTCTCTTTGTTGAAGAATGTTGGGAGGAGTGGCAGGTCGCCACATGTCAAGGAGGAGAGGATCCTCTCCAGCCATCAAGTGGGAGGATGGAGCCGTACCAGTCAGCAGATACGCGAGAAGGCGAAGAGCGGCAGTTACCACTTCGGATCATAAGAGCTGCGCCCTTATACAAACCCGCCTTAAAATTGGAGATATCATGTAAGTTTTTGATCTTTAAACCTCCAAACCTTCATTTTTTAAATATATTTAATGCCCCGATTAAAGTGGAAGATTCTGGAAGAACCAGAAGATTAAAGATGCAACACTAAACACGCGAATATCATTCCCATACTCCAAAATCGACTTTTGCAAAATTGGGGTCTAAAGCCACTCCGCTCGCTGAAAAATTGTGTTTTTTGCGATCACTTGCCATCAAAACTCTATGGGTTTTTTTTCGTTCGAACAAGTCAGATACTTTCCGTAAGTTATTCCATTAAATTCGGAAATAATTATTCTCTCTAAGGTGAAAACGGCTGGATTCCGGCTCCATAGACCCTCGTTAAGGTTTGAATTAGCACTGGAGTGTTGGAGCGGACGAGACACCGAATAAAAGGGCCCGGATTAGCATGATTTCTATACGATACTCATCCATTTATTGACAAATATTGTGCGGTATGCCATAAATTTGCCAAAACCGGGTTTAGTGCGATCTACTTCATTACTTCGGACGTTTCGCAAGCTCGAGTGCTTTGCGTCTTCAGAGGTGGTGTGCTCCAATCCGTTTTCCATGGCCCAAAATCCACCAGTTTCAAGCAATGGAAGTCCATTTAAAAGGGCCAACCTTTTCATTAACTATAATGATCATTTAGAGCCACTTGAGTTGAAAAAATACGCTTCTCAAGCGCAATGGAAGTCACTTCGGGTAAATCGCCAACTTAATGAACAACTAGCTGTTAGCTATAAAAGCACAAACTACAAAAGGGAATATTTTGCTTTTGTATTGAGTTTTGTCAATGGTTGCTGGGAAGATGAATTAGCTTAAGAATGCTTTGTCTGCTGTCGGATTTGACTTCTAATTTTCCAGTTGCAGTGTTTCAGCATGGAACTTTCCAGCTTTGAAATTCGAAATGCAGATGCAAAAAATTAATTATTGTCGTCGGTTAATTAAAAATGTAGACAATGGGAGACGGCTTCTCTAGAAGTTGCAAATTTTCGTCTAAGTTACAGAAAAAGATACAAAAATTACCCGTTTGAAAAGAAAACATTAAAAGCATGACATGTTTTTCTTATTTTCTTTTGGTAATATTTTCTCTTTATCCGCTGTACCAGCTTCAAAAACACTGTTCTGAATGTAATTTTTCACCATTTTTTCTCAATTTTGCCATCTATGAATGTATTTTTAAACCTCTTGATTCTGATTATCTCTGCTGGTTATAAAAATGAAAAGTAGGTACTCGAAGCCGCACTAAAAAAGAAGCATGGAAAACTGGAAAATGGAAGCACGAAACCTGCCTTTCTTCAGTTTAACATAATTAAATGTAATTTTTCCTCTTCATTAGACCTTACGCTGTTGGAGTCCAGATCATAATTTCTAAAATATGTTTCACTCAAACTCAAATAATTCGGATCAAAGAAGAAACAAAACTATGCTAAAATACGTTTTTTATTTGTGATTTACTGTTCGCAAATGCGTCCTCATTTCGGTTCAACCAGCAAATTAAAACCCGAATTTTCCAAACCAATTTGTTCTACCATGAGTGGAACAAAGCAGCCCACCATTTTCCTGCATTGAAAAGAGAAACGAGCACCACACCGAAGCGAATCGACACTAGGGGCGGAGCCCCGACCCCATCCGATTCACCCACACGGTGATTGGCTACGCGTTACTCCACCCACTTAAGAGCGTTTCTCTCGTTCTGGTACACACATTTATGGCCCTGCCTTGTCCCCCCCATTATAATCATGCTATTTGGGCGTCAATAAAAAGGTCCAAAGCCAGTGTCGATTTCCCTAAACTGTTGTGCGGTACATTAAGGGCTTATCATTCAAACTAGGCACTAGGAAATGTGACATCAGATTCGCAACGAAGCGAACTGAGGTTGACAATAGAGGCTCAATCGAACATCTCTCACTGACCCTTGTTAGCATTCAAATCAGCTCAAAACGTCGGCCTAAGGGTGGCGAATTCGTAACATCTTGAAGGGAAAATTTATCGGATTTTCATAGAAAACAAAGCCCCGGATGGCGAATGGAAATCTGTTAGAGGGCGGCAATAAACTCTGGTTTCGTGGACAGTAAACCTTGCATGTAAATGACCAGTTTCGTTCACCTTACGTGAAATTAAAAGTAATGAAAGTGTGCAATTTTCGCGGTTGATTTATCGGGGAATTTATCAAAATAAGCTCGTAAGCTCTGGTCGGGCTCTCCTTCAATTTATAGACGGAAACTTTGCAAAGGGCCAACAATTTGTTTGGCTTTATCGATTATTCGCCTTTTACGGGATAAACGCGAAAGAAATGAAACGTTTTGCAAAATTCAGCAGCTTTGCTGAGAGGAAAAGATGTCTTTTAGCCAAATCGGGGTTCAATATTGCTAAGCAATGAATCATTCGCTACATTTCCTGGCTTGCCCGGTCCGTCCAGTTAAATTTGTTATGAGTTAAACCAAATGGATGGCCACGAAACTGCTGCCACCCATTTGAAGTGGGACTATCCATCAAGCGCAATTAATTATTAAACATTTGCAGATATTGATGAGCTTTGCGTGCCGTAAACATTTGCCAGCTGAAGAAATTGCCCGAGTAATGAAATTTCCATACAACTGAGACGGAATCGGTCAATTGGCAGTGAAACGATCATAAGTTAAACGCCTATTAATGCTCAACATATGGAAAATCAGTTAGTCAGTGAGCCGGAAATGTAAAGATAAAACACTTAGTGTCTCGAGCGAGTCCTAATGCGCTTAGAAAGGATTAATTAGTGTATTCAAGCTTAATGCTTTAGCCTATTGTTGTTTTTCCACCTAGAGAGTCTAGAGTTTATAGCGCCAGCGGATAGGCTTTATCATCGAAATAATGGTTTATGACTAGCGAACAAACTGCGAAGAGTTTTTTTTATTAAAGCGCATACAGGCATGCAACAGAATACAGCAACAGAAATCGCAACTCGTATTCATACACGTTTCTGTATTCTGATGCATGTCGGTAGGCGCCTTAGGCAGGATTTTCCGTCCCCAGTATGCTAATTATCGGCGTTTTTATCGTCAAATTTCATCCTTGACTGGAATCTAATCCGGCTTTAATGGGGATTTGAAAACTCCTCCAGCTTGTCGGGGCCTGTATTTGAAAATTATTCGAAAACTCACATTTAAAGTGAATTCCCTTTGCTGGAAGGCGCCAATTTTGTTTAAGTTCCTAATTAGATACACTATCGATGATCTTCCAATTCGCTAAAGGTGGTTTCGAAATTTCAGCCAACTTTAATTACAGCAGTGTGCCAGTTATTTGCCTTTGAAAGTTCAGAAATTAGTTCGGCAAAGGAGATTTTCGGTAAACTCCCTGTTGCTTTCATGTCTGGGCAGTTCAGCAGGGGATTTAAAATCGTCTGAAAATTGTAGGTTGCAACTTTTTTGAGCATTTTACCACTGAAATTAGCATTTTATTCGCAAGTTTCCATCGGTTGGGGTAACTTTATTCCTATTTATTATCTACAACAGGCAGTGCCATCAACCAAGAAGTCCTAAAAAATTTTGAAGAATTGCGACTTCGTTTCTTTCGCAACGCGTGGATTAAGCGTTGGAAAAAGTGCCTTTTCAGTGAAAAATTTATGAAGTTTTTCAAACCCTATTGTTTGCAGCGAAGTTTGAGGCAAAAATGTGCAAAATTAAGAAAAAGTTCCAGTCTACAACCGCGTCTATCAGGAACGATTGCGAATTCCTTTTTGATCGCAATCATTTTCTGATAGAGCATTTGAAATTCTGGTTGTTTCTTAAGAGGTTTCAGCAGAAATTTGCGACCTTTCAAAAGTTAAAAGCAAAATTGTGCACAAATAAGGAAAAGTTGCAGTTAACAGCCGCGTTTCTTAGAAATGCTGACAAAATTTTGGTTCAGTTCTAAATAGAGCAGGAGAAGAACATTTTTAACTAATGAGGCTTTGACAAAATTTGCGTCGTTTAAAAAGTTTGAAGCAAAAATGCGCAACAGTTTCAGTTTACAACCGCGTATTTCAGCAAAAGTTGTATTTTTCCATTTTATCGACTTCACAGGTCGACCATCTCAAGTGCTTGTCTTTGCATTTATAATCTCTAAAAAATTAGGAGCAAAAACGTGAAGAGTTCAAGGAAATTTCAAGCTTAAAACCGCGTACCTCAGAACGAAAGAAAAATGTTAAATTCAATCAAAAACCTTCAATAAATTTAATCTAAAAGAGTTAAAAATGTTGAAGTTTGCAGCATTGAAAATATCATTTTATTCCCTATACTAGATTACTCTAAGGCTTGTGAGCCTCTATCCATCACAGCCAGAGCCACCTACTTGTGTCGGTTGAAAGCGAAAAGGGCGCTCGATCTCTGGAAACCCGGAGCATCGATTTCCAGAGCCGATCTTTCCAGAATTGCCCTCTTCACTTTACTATTCTAGATGTCGCTGTGGGCCACTGATTATTTAGGCCAGTTACCAAAAAAGTGTGTTTTTTGCAAAATAAAACCGCTATTTAGAGCAAGAAGCGTGAATTTTTCAAAGGGAAAAACATTTTTTCTTCCTCCAGCTCTAGTTGAGTTAGATTGAGGGATTCGAATGCCACAATTTAGCGCTCAAAACAGTGAACGGCGAGGCAAAATTAAGCAGCAGCCCCATAATTAGGGTAGTTTGAAATTAATGCGGTCCGTATGCGTGTTTGCCCTAGTGCGGCATTGGAAAACATGAATGACCGGAGAAGCAACTCCGGATGGCCGGAGTTTCCGGTGCGCGCGCTCTAACTTCCACCATGCTCTGTTCGTTCAGGCCCGGATTTCCATTGCAGATAATGGAGGAAAAACCTTAATATTCAGACAATTGGCTCACGTTTGATTGCAACCAAAGCATGCGAAAGGAAAAGACACAACAAACGTATCAAGGAATTGATGGAGAGAAGGAATGAACCCAACTTCAGCTGGAAGAAGTTGTTATGGACCTAATTAGTTTAACCCATTTATGACTTTTCTTGAAAATAAATTCGTTTTTT